TTCGATATAAAACGAATTTTCATCTTGCTTAAATTCACTTAGCTGTTATTCTTATTGGATTAAAAAAGGAGGCCAAAGAGATTAAAATGTCAGCTCGTATAATTAAATGTAGTGAATACAGTGAATTACGATATTTGAACAACCTTTGTCTTAATTTTGCCTTGTAAAATTAAACCCCACGAATGGTTTCCAAAACTGATACGGCAGAAACTGAAAACAATGGGCTACATAAATTTTTGTTGTTTTACTAGCGTTCGTAATTTACGGTCATACTGTTACACAGCCTATATTCAGAGAGATTCATTCAAAATAAACCGCCTTGTCATTACGTCATTCAAGACTTTATAATTACAGTTGTAAGTGAAAAGACGGGTGTGTTTATAAATCCACAAAAATGCCAACTTTTCAACGTTTTTAATTACTCAAATTTCAATGGTTTACAATATTATATGGGATCATGGTTCCTCTTATTGATTCCATCCGCTCAAATGGCCTTCTCATGTTCACGTTCTCTCACAATACAAAAGCGGGGACCACACATACCCTAGGCAACGCTATGCGACGCTACCCGCGGCAAATCCAAAGTCGATTTTTCCATAAGGTTGCATTACCCCCGTGCACATCTGCCCGATGCCACGCAACGCTACCCTACTCTACGCTCTCCGAACCCCACTGTCCGGATTTTCGTCGGGTAGCATCGAGTACAGTTGAAGACAAAAGAACATTTAAACTACATGTATTATTGTGATTTTATTAATTACAATATACTTATTTTAATATAAACCAAATTAACCGAGATCAAAAATTCATTCGTTTTTATTTTAAAAAAATAGTAATTTTAATGGTTTAGTATAAAATTGATCAAAACACCGGAATACCATTTTTGGTATAATGAATTTAAGTAACAATGTATAACACTGTTTTGCTCATAAAATTGAACTAACAGTTTATTTCATGGTTTTGCTCATAAAATTGCACCATTTTCGTCGAGTAGCGTCAGAACAAGACACTCATATTTTTTGTAGTTTATTTCAAACTATGTATATGTAATTTTGTCGTTATATTAATTACAACATTCTTATTTTAATGTAAACCAAATTAAACGATATCAAAAATTCATGAGTTTTTATAAATAATTAAGGTTTTTATCTCAACTAAAAACAAGAAGTCTTTTCAGAGGATCTTCGGAAGAGGTCAAAACAGAGAAAACTTCCTTACGGTTTTCGCCGAGCTTTCGACAGTTTTATACTGTCATCTTCAGGGCCTGTTTTATTATCATATAAACAAACAATTAAAACATGAAAAAACAATAATTACAACAATAATTGGATATCTTACTTTAAAACCTTAATAGGAAATTAAACAACATGGTGTTTTGGGCACAGAAGTACATTATGTTTTTTTCGGCTCAGCATCTAAATATTGATTTAAATGGAATACATTAACAATTAAAAATTATAGCTAAAATTACAGTAAAAATAAANACGTACTGTGATCATTTGTACCTGAAAAACTAAAAAAAGGTGGATTTTATTGGTTTTTTAGACTTATATGAGGTAACCTTTCTCGACCACGTTTTTTTAACTTTATTTTTACTGTAATTTTAGCTATAATTTTTAATTGTTAATGTATTCCATTTAAATCAATATTTAGATGCTGAGCCGAAAAAAACATAATGTACTTCTGTGCCCAAAACACCATGTTGTTTAATTTCCTATTAAGGTTTTAAAGTAAGATATTCAATTATTGTTGTAATTATTGTTTTTTCATGTTTTAATTGTTTGTTTATATGATAATAAAACAGGCCCTGAAGATGACAGTATAAAACTGTCGAAATCTCGGCGAAAACCGTAAGGAAGTTTTCTCTGTTTTGACCTCTTCCGAAGATCCTCTGAAAAGACTTCTTGTATCCAGCAGGTCGATAATCTAGTTCATCGTTACATCAACTAAAAACCTTAATTAATTATAATATATTAATTGGTCAAGCGGACCACGAAATTAGTGAATTTAGTTTTTATAAAAATTATTTAATTATGATGGTTAGGCAGAAATTTATCAAAACACCGTAATAAGTTTATCTAAAACAATTAAGTTTAACAAACAATTTATTACATGGTTGTGCTCGTAAAATTTAACTAAAAACTTATTAGCTTAACAACTTAGCTCAAAATAATGCATTAAGAACAAAAGATGCGTTGCGATTGTGATATTGATTCGTGATACACGCTGTGTGACTGAACGTGGCGTGCGCTTGACGTCGCACACCCTACCAAAACGTTAACGTGTCGTGTAGCATCGGGTAGCGTCGCATAGCGTTGCATCGGGTGTGTTCCCTGTTATATTCACGCCAATATACACAGTCACTCTCAACACAGGGACTCAAAACTCTCAGTGAATGGAATATTACCATCCTTTTTCCTCTAAAAATTAGAATATGGGACCCAGATATTCGCTGGGACTCAAGCATATCGGGTGGCATTCCTGCTCGCTCTCTATACGGATCCAAGACTACCAATTAAGGAGGTGGGGCACATCAAGCAACCTTTCTTTCTATACCGGACACATACCAGCTTCTATTTTTTATTGTTTCAAAGTTTTAATTTTTTTCTGTCGAAAATGACCAGTATGTTAATCAAAAATAGAAGTTAAAGCAAAAATCTTTTTTCCATGTGTGAATAAATGCAATAGCAGTTGTACAGGTCGGGAACTTGTTTTATTTTCAACCCCTTTAAGGCTTTTTCTAGAACTTTATATGCGCCTTTCTCCACTTTAGAAGCATTACTTTTTACATAGTTAGAGCCAGAGAAACTCCCATATAAAGTAAAGATCCAACGAAATGCGGTTTCGAAAATTTACTTTGGCGGCTCACACACTGGAACAGTGTTTGTCCGATTTATGAACGTTTAGACTCAACTTGGCAGAAACTTTCCCAACCTACGTGATGTAAATAGCCCTCTCAGAACCGACTTAATTGTGCATATACGTTTGCTTTGTTTTTTAGCAAGCTGGAACTTTTGCGTTACTCTGATTCCGCTGGCTAAAAAGTTTGGAAAGCCCTGCGCCGAGCACGACACTTGACAAAAAAAAAAAACGAGTGAAAGGGTTGCAGAAACAATATTTTTAAATGGGAATCAGTTATTTTTACAAAGATATTTTTCGTCGGGAAATATTTGTGTACGATAGTTTGAACATGTTTTCTTTTTTATCGACGGTCTCTCTCAGAAAGTGCAGCGGTCATTTTTCTTCCGTCCACTTCATGGGAATGCGCATCGAAAACAAAGTTCGTATAAAAAATAATTAATATTAAATGACAATTAGATAATTGGAAATAAGAAACGAATTTAGTATATATTTAATTATTTATGTGTTAAAAGTTGGGTTATGTTTAAAAACCTAAATTGCACGTTTTAACACAATAAATATTGAGCTTTTCTTCAATATTGTATTAAAATCTGCAATTTCTGATAAAAATGTAATTTGATAGTATGTATATTATTTATAATTATTCGGAGATCGTGAGATGCGGTTTGGTGTGAAAAACATTTTCTTTATCGTGCCAACGTTTCGAACTTTAGTGAGGTCATCTTCAGCGCTCAAAGTGTTTGTTTTCCATGTAGATGTGCCATTCTTGTGTGTCTTGTTGAGAGTGCCCATGACACACAAGAATGACACATGTATACGTAAAACAAACACTTGGAGCCCTGAAGATGATCTCAATAATCGAAACGTTGGCATGCTAAAGAAAATGTTTTCCTAAAACCTACGTCACACAAGACCATACCTCACGATCTCCAAATAATCATTGGGTAACGGTCACTAAGCACCACACATTGTTATTTGTTTTTGAATTTTCTCTTTTTTTTAGAATTAGGTAGTAAACATTTTCTTATTGGTACAACCAAATTTATTTTTTGACAGCCAAAATATGAATAAATGCGTTAAAATGTAGGGTGGCGCGTTAATTTTGTCCATCAGCGTGGTTGCATGAAATATCCATCTTTTAACCTCATTTTGTTATTAGAAAATATTTTCATCAACCTTACAATGCAAGTCAGTATATCAAAAATATCGATAATAAGCAGTGACATTCTAAATTGTTATATCATTATGTTTTGTCGATTTAACATTTCATTACAAAATATCAATTTTTTTAATAACAAACCATAAATTTCTTAAAATTGTTTGAGGAAGATTTTTTATGCAGTTTATTTTGTATTTCTAAGGGTATCGTGGTATCGAATTAAATTTTCTGAATATGCTAAAACGTTGTTTGGACGTGACTTTATGAAGAGGGTGCATAAACATTGAGGTACATCAAAAAATGTTTTTTTTCCCTGTGCGTGAATAAAATCACACTTTACAATGAACTGTTTGAATTGTCTTTTTTAAATGAAATCGATATTTTACTTAACAAACATTATAACGATAGTACTTGACAATACGGTTTCGACATAAAAAATAAAATAAGTCCCGTCAAACAATAGGAATTAACGTTCTATTGGTTGCCACAAACGGGTTCAAAACCGCTCTACAATGCTTTTTCCCAAATTATTCTCAACCAAAATCCCATTCGAACACAGAACCATTGTGGAGAATACGAATCGGAAATCATAACCACTCGGCCATAGCGGTCTGAAAGTTTCTAACTTAGAATGATGGTATTTTGATACTTTTGAATCTTTTTGATGTAACATATTGATTTTTTAAGGTAGAAGTTTGTAAATTTTAACCATTTATCCATTAATACTAACTAATTGTTGGTGGAAGCTTTTTATATGTAATTTATATTTATAAGAAGTTGTTCTAAACCTTGGCTGATTCAATACAAAAATGATTCAAATTCTTCCATTTCATATTTTACATTTTTACATTCAATCTGCCATCATTTCATATATCTTAGTTTAAAATGTACTACTTAAATTTCAGTGAATACTTTAATATTGTCAAATGCAACTACACTGAAGAATTTTAACCTTGCATTAATTTTTTTTTCTTTTTAGGATGGTGGTTGTCGAGGATTTAAACGACCCCCTTGCGGACTACATCCGAGAGCACAGGGTCCCTGGGCTGATGCCAGTCGGTGACATACGCGTTTTTCCATCCGGCGTCGTGATGCCGAGGGAATTCACAAATTACGTCGAAAGGGTTAAAAACTTCACAGTCCGCCCGGACGATGTTTGGGTCATCTCCTATCCAAAATGCGGTTGGTTTCGACACTAAAACTTCTGGTGGTTGGTTTGTGATTCGGTGAACACGTGTTGAACTGATCGAAGTGAGTTTCATTGAAGATGGCGTGAAACTGAAACACGTTTGTCTGGAACGTAAACCGGCGAGTGTGGAGACCATTAATATGGTCAACTGTCGATCAGTCGAGCATGTTAAACATTCGGTCTAAGGTGGACTTCCACAGGTTTAACCGTACATTCGAGTGATTAAGTGTCAAAATCGGAAAACTTATTAAAAATAAATTAAAAACCAAAGAATAAAATTAGCACACTCTTTAAGCATGTTGCACTACATAGAAGTAAAACAAATAACATAAAAGAAAAAGAAAAAAGGTATAAACAGACAAAAAACCAGCTACAATTCATTGATTTTCATACTACTTACATTATTCACATTATTCAATGCTGAATACTCTCGCATAAGCCAAAGTCTGCATCGGAAAAATGCTTCTAGTAAAACGCGTACATATTTGTTTTAAATTGAAATCTAATTTAAAGTACCTTGCCTTCCTGAAATGGAATAAAACAGTTGGGAGTGTTTACATGCTTTGGAATTTGATTAAGGCAAAGGAAGAGAGATTATCGAGATAATAAATGTGATAATTATATAATATGCTTAAATATTTTTTATTCAAATACAAAATTGGATTTAAAATAAATTTAATTTAAACAATACAATTGACAAGTGCCAATAAAAGTATGTTTGTATATTTTACACATTTTTGTAACCATTCATAGGCCAACACCATAATTTTTTTTTACATTATTTGTTGTAATATACTACACGTAAAATAGTTGAATTGTACAATTAAAAAATAAATATAATATAAAACTCATTAAATTGACTAGTTTTGTGTTCCGCTTGACCAATTATTATCTTTCAATTAATTAAGGTTTTAAGGTGAGATAAAAAAGTCATTGTCAAGAGCGGGATTCGAACCCACGATCTTGGCTAGTTAGGCTCTGCTCTACCATTGGAGCTATCGTGACCTCGTTCCACTCGGACCCTAACTTCCCATCTTAACCCCACCTTTTGAATTTTCCCTCCTATTTTATCTCTAATAAGCGGACCACGAAACTAGTAAATTTAATAAGTTTAAATGAAGTATACCTTCACTAAAGCTCTCCGTGGCCATTTCATTTCTCGCCGAGAATCAAATAGATTAGAGAGAATTAAATAGAAAAATGGCAAAAAGGAAGAAAAATTTACAAGGTGGGGTTGAGATGGGAAGTTAGTTAGTCCGAGTGGATCGAGTTCACGATAACTCGAGTGGTAGAGCAGTGGTGTATCTAGCCGAAGATCGTGGGTTCGAACCCCGCTCTTGACACTGACTTTTTTATTTCAACTAAAAACCTTAATTAATTGAATGATAATATAAATCGAAATATAAACAATCTAACAGAAGAAAGCGAAAAATCACCCACCTACGTCTCACTGCCCTACAGGGCACGATGATATTGCAGTTTCGCCTTCTTGAGAATTGTACGAGACGTTAAACTTAAGAATCAAAAATTTAGGTATAAAGAAACGGATTTGCTGAGTTTTTCATGCCGGAATTTTATAACATCTTTCACAAAAGGAATGTTAAATTCATTACGGATTGTATGATTGGATTGATAGAACTGAGCGTTTAATATTTTCCGGAGGATATCAGATTTGGAAATCTGAATACGATAATAGTCAGAATGTTTGGTTGACCCCGCAATTCGAAGCAGTATTTTCAAATGGGCTTTATTAACGTCTTTTATATCAGTCGTTTGTTGTGAAGCGAAAGTTTTGATCGATTCTCTAGAAGTCGTAAGAACATTTTTTAACGTCTAATAAGTGCCTCCTTTTTTAAATCTTGTAATGAGATTCTTTGCCTTTTGTCGATTTGCCGCCCACCGTAACGGACATCGTTAATTGTAGGAAGAGATATGCGATGTAGGTATTGTGGGCGCATTGTTCCTCATGGCAAAGGTTATATATTGGCTTTTGTCAAGGCCACTTTTTCAGTCAAGGTTTTAGATTGATATGATGAGCCTTTAGGGAGCGATGTGAGAGAACAGGATCCTCATCAGTATCGTCTGAAAAATTATAAATAAACGTATCGGGATCTCTACTCATCAGGTCAGCCGTATACATGGAAAACAAGAAGGCACCAAGCGTACTACAATGTGGGACCTCAACCTTAACAGGATAGTAGTCAGAGAAGTTGTTTCCTGGCTGACCTGAAAGAAGCGGCCAACGAGTATGATCAGGATGATATTGAGAAAGCCCTCGAACAGTACTGTTTCAGCCCAAGAGAGAAAGTTATTGCAGCTATGAGAAGGATTCTTTTTAAAAATAGCCTCTCAAAGATTTGTCCTTCTATTTTTTCCACGTTCCGTGTTGGTTGATGCCAATCTTTCAACTGCCCATTCCATCCTCAGTATCCCGTCCAAGAATCCTGTTAGGATTCGGAATTTTTTCGGAATCTTCTTTTGATGGATTTTGTAGTTTCATTTTTTTCAAATCTTGTAAAAAACGTTTCAATTGTCCAGTGAGCGACTCCCATTGTTTCCTCTCTTCAACCATGCCCTCTTTCCTAAGATGCTTGTTGATCGTATCGATCCCTATACAGAAACCTGTCCAGGACCTAGTACCTTCTTCATGGGCATCCGCCTATTCGTTCCCCTTTCTTTCTAAATGAAAGAAATTCTTCTTTTTACTGTTCAGTTTAGTTTTGCCATCTGCACCATTCTCGAGGTGATGAGTCATGAGCTTAATAACCTGTCGGCTGCTGGCTAGTATGACTTTGTTATTCATATACTTCAAATTTAATAAAATTCAACTCTTATTTTCAAGAATTTTGGATTAAAATAAAGAAGTACATGCCAATATGCTCTGAATATGTGGTTTTAGGGCCAAACACTCCGGCATCTGTACCTTTTTGCGTCCTAGATACATCGGTATTCCAACAGATAGGATCGACCTAACTGAGATTGTTTTTCCATTACCGTTTGGGTACTTAGATTTGTTTGAATTTAAATATCCTGTTCATGACATCCCTGGCCCTATCACGGTCATTTTTGCCGTGAAAAAAAAGAAAGCGCAAAGGATTCCCTATGCCGTGAAAACCATTAGATGCGTTGAAATTATTTTTTTACATTTTAACAGAATTCTTACTTTTTTTATAAACTTTCTTTATACTAATAATCTTTTTAAAGAAGGATAAGATTGAAAGACTGTACTAAGGAACTTGGGAAGTACAATAAGCCAGAATCTGGAGGGCTTGAGGAATTTAGACCCCACTTCCTAATCTCTTTTCATCATCATCAATATTTTAAAAAATCTATGTATATTCAGGTTATTTCGTTGCTTTTTATTTTATTTTTATTTTGCCGATCGATTGAGGATTATTAGTAGGAATTATTAGTATAAAATTATTAATTGTAGTATTGTAATTAAAAATTGTAGTAATATTATCAACTTAGTAAGCAGTTTTCACAGAATCATCTTCCATAAACTTTATGTTAATTTAATTTTTCTAAAAATAATAATAATAAAAAATATAACAAAAAATTATAACAAAATATAAAAAAGCTCCCTCCTCTCACTCTCTCTCTCTCTCTCACTCTCTCTCTCTCTCTCTCTCTTTCTCTTTCTTTCTTTCATGCTTCCTCTTTCACGCACACTTTCATTCCGTTTTACTCCCAATCTTTTTCTCTATAAATATTGTTTTTCCAATTTACTGATTTGCTCTTTTTTCAGGTACAACTTGGACTCAAGAAATGGTTTGGCTCATTGGAAATGACTTGGACTACGAGAGCGCTAAAAACAAGCTTCTCCTGCAACGGTTCCCCTTTCTTGAGTGAGAGAAATTGACGAATTTTTTACTTAAAACTTTATAAGAACATTCAATTTATTGATTCATTAAAATTACAAATATTTGATATAAAAACAAAACACTCAATTCTTGTCGTACAAATTTCTTTGAAATATTCTGGCTTCTCTTTCTTATCCGTATCAACACTGAAAAACCTTTCAGTTTGGATAGTTCATCATGATTTTCATCTTCTATCTCTGTTAAACCCTATTTATTAAATAAAAACAACTTTCATGCGTTCCGATCCTACACACACCTGATCGACTGGTAGTAGACTTTATTGGTCGATGCTTCTTATTTACCAATTACTTTTGTAGTTCATTGGTGAATAAAAATTGGCAACAAACGTCATTAACCGAATCGCTAGCACCAAAAGGACTTATGTGACACTTCATTATTTTTAACCAATTAATTCATCAATATGTAAAAGTTGGCAGTTTCGTAACTGACAGAAGCTGTCCTCATCACAAAATGCTGTTGAAAAGAAAAAAACAGTTCCTTTGCAATCCTGGGAAGATGTTCTGAAGCTATATAGTTGGTCCATTGTTCTAGAATGATTTGTTTTCTTGTAGTTGATCTATTGGCAGTTCAACTTATGGCAAGCATCCTTTCAACTGTCTGGAAACTCATTCCGACTCCGCGTACATTTTATAACCCAAACCCATTGTTTGTATTATTGAATCGTATTTGGTTTTCGCTTTTTATTGGCAATTGTTCATCAAATCTTAGAACAGCCAACAAAACAAAAATCTGACCTTACCCTTAACATACTTTTATTTTGATAAATTTTAAGACTTTTCTTTAATTGTTTTTATAGTAATTCTGGTCTGATTCTTCTTATTTTTCAAATACAATTGTGTCAAAAAAATTCCCTTTTAGCGTTTAAGTTGCGTTGTTTTTATCATACCATATTATGTAAATTTAACAAGTTAATAGAAGGCAGAAAGTTGATAATCAATTTTACAGAAATATCAATATTGACAAGTTGTTATGATATAATATAAATTGAATACAGAATGTAATAAAATGTACCGCTTTCATGAAAATTTATACATTAAACAAAAGATATTTGAAAAAATTTATTACAACACAAATAAATTGCTAACCATTTTAGCCTTATATGTAATAAATTCAACATTTACAGATAAGCTTTAAATCATCACTTTCATTTCAATTTCGAAAACGGAAACAATAAAAAAAGTAAACACAATTTTTGTTTAATAATATTTTAGCGTGGAAAATAAAATAAAAGCATCCAATGGTATATTTTCTTCGACAATCAGCACCAGTATATTGAAAAAAATGTAATATTTTCATTTTAAGAAACGAGAAATATTTTGGCTTTTGAGTAGAATACTTCCTTCTTAACTTCCTTATTTCGGGTTTTTTTAAATTTTTTAAAATAATTTAGATATTTTCTTATAAACTAAATACTTGAAACTTGTAATTTTATTTTAGAGCCGTTGGTATAATTTCGAGTGAACAGCTACGCGGAAACGATGATGACGACTGGGTTTTCAACGCAGACACGATTTCTTTTACGGAAGAGCTCCCATCGCCGAGATTTATTAAATCGCATTTGCCCGTCAGCCTCCTTCCTGACCAGATTTGGACAGTGAAACCTAAGGTAAAGTTACAACAAGACTATGGTATTTTTTAAAAAAGACAGATTACATAAAACAGGTAAACAGCAAAAATTCCACCGACAAATCGTGCTTTTTATGGATGAAATTTGAATTGTTGCGATTTGGAGAAGTTTGATGACCTTTTATCAGCTTCGTAGAATTCTCCTTATTTCACTTTTAAGATGAAGAAGAGATACGTTTTTTTAAAAATAAAATTTGCCACTGATAAAGTGCCTCACAATTACGCATTCTATCAATCTGAACTTTCCTCGATTTCTGGGAGTGGGCTCTTTTTGTTTGAAGCCCGTTATCGGTAAAAGCACTACCCACTCAGCTAATTTTGACTCAATATTTTACGCTGATTTAATTAGGTTTTACATTAACATAGATAACAAGTAATTGGGAATAATCGGCAACTTATTAATATTATTTTGTTAATAATATTCATATATCTTCCCAAGAATATTAATACTTCCCCTTTGCTTGCATATAAAAATAAATATAAAAATAGATTTTTATTAATTACATGTTAATCGGTGAAAATAGAAATACTTAAATTTATTTTTACAATGTTTTTTATTTAAATTAAGTGAACAATAAACATAAGTAATGGCCGGGGGACAGCACTTCATACAATATGATAATGATGAATACACTGTCAGTGCGGTTACTTCGTCATGAATCATGGTATGATTTCGGCTCAACTTTGGGACATGAAGATCGATTATTTCTAAAGACCGGATTTCTATGTAGTAAAACCTTTTAAAACGGGCAATAAAAACCTCAAAATCGAGCAAAAAGGTGTGAGAAATATAAAAAACTTCCTATTTAACTTAATGTTAGTAAATTCGTTATTAACTTAAAGAAATCTTAAACTTATTATCTTAACCATTGTTTAGGATTGATTGTTTATTAATAGGAAATCGATTATATTCATTTTTAAACCCAATTTACAAAAATATACAATTTTTTTATGAAATTTAAAAATATACAACTAGATTAAGAAAATTAATGTTTTGAAATTTAATATAAACCTAAAATATATTTTATTTTCGTTTTCCCTTGTGTTTGTATTTTTTTTTCAAAACGTTTAGTAGTGCGAAATAAAACTTTAACCAGTGATTCGGACAACGAAGACCGGCTTTGCATGCGAAATTAGAGCTTACAATTAGACCCTTCCCTGTGGAGGGTTAAAAAAATTTGACCGTTGGTCTTTGGTTGCGGGTAGTCCTGTAGCCACCACTTTGAACATTCGGTACTACGAACTTAACGGGCTTTATTTGTTTAAGTTGTTCCGATTCGCTCCCAAGCCGAAGTAAGATTGAGAAGGAAATGTGCGCCGTACGCAAATGATGGAAAAAAGCGGATCGGTGGAAGTCGGACATAAAATATTTCTTAGAACATTTTAGAAATTGGAAGTTAAAAATCGGGACAAAACGCATAATAAAAAAGTTTACCCTCAATTCGTTAAGAAAATACTGTAAACCCATAAAAATGGTGTATTTTCACGGTGTTTTTAGGCATAAAAAATGAGAAAAATGCAATTCTGTGCCTTTAACCCTAAAAATGTGAAATTTAGTGCAAAATAAGAATAGCGTCAAAAGAACGTCCTTTCCATGATTCGAATTTCTTTCTTGGTTTCATTGCAATCGGACTGAGCAGTTAAAACATGCAATTGCAACTGTCTTTAATTATTTCTCTTGTCCTTGTTCAACCTAGTCTCGACAGTTTTCAAGAATACACACATCGTCATGTAAAATAAACATTACAAAAACAGTACAACATTGCAAAAAGGAGTGAAAATTCGAAAGGTGGGGTTGAGATGGGAGGTTAGTGTCCAAGTGGTAGAGCAGCGGTGTATTTAGCCGAGGGTCGTGGGTTCGAATCCCGCTCGTGACCCTGACTTTTTTATCTCAATCAATGCCTTATGTTAAGATTAATTAATTGAATTTCAAAAACAGTTATTAAAACGTAGAGAATCTGACTGGTAAAAGAGTAACCACACAAATTTTAATAAAATCATTAAATTAATTTCTGGCAAAACCCCCACTTAGTTCAAGGGTCAATTTCTTGGATCTATGTAGTCTAGGAATGCCACCCGATATGAAAATCATCCTTGAGCACGGCAGCGAGTATTTGGGTCCCCTGTTCCGATTTTCGGAGCGAACAATACTGTTCTATTTTATATAATATTGATAGTTATGTTTCCCTCGAGGAATATAGAAAACTCCACCACCTTAACTGAGTGAATGGTTCGTAACTAAGAAAGAATGTATTTAAGAGTAAGTAAGAGATTGATTGGGTGTAATTTTAAGTTGGGGGATGAAATGACTTAGCGTTGGTAGCCCCTGAAATCCGACCTCGGTGGCTGGACGGACAAGACCGAGGTCTGACTCCGGGTCTTCCAATAAACGAGGTGGGTGATTCGCGAGGCCTGTCGGTAATTTATAATAAATTACAAAAGCTGTAATGCGGGTGGGAGTCGTACATGCATGTGCAGATTTGGGTGGTGAATGACATATCGTAATTTTAATATCGATTCTATCTCTCCGTCTATTTCACGTTACCATAATTGTTTATACGTTATTTATTTATATACCATCAATTAGGCTTTTGGACCCATCATTCCATCACTCAACAACTTCACAGAGTTACAGATTTTATTACTTCATTTCTCGAGCAGAAACTGTATGCGACGGGAGTGTTGCTAGATGTTTCTCAGGCCTTCGAAAAAGTATGGCATGAGGGATTATTAAACAAATTAAAATTATTTTTACCCAAGACCTATTATCTGATTATACAATCATACCTTAAGGAGAGATTTGTCGCAGTGAACCAGGGTTAAGGAGAATTCTGGGATGGAAGAAGTGCGTGCAGGTGTGCTACAGGAGTCAATACTCGCTCCGCTGTTGTACACAATTTTTACTTCTGATTTGCCCACAAATGGAAATACCGCCACATACGCAGATGACACCGCCATATTAACAAGCCATCTCTCACAAGCTTCATTTATGCTACAACCACACATCAACACTTGAAGAATGGAGCAATGATTGGAAAATAAAGTCTAACTACTCAAAGTCACAACACATTACTTTTACACTCCGTCGTGAGACTTGTCCTAGCATTATATTTACATAATGAACCTTTTCCTCAATCCGACAAAGTTAACTATTTGAGACTTACATTTGATAGAAGACTAGTTTGGAATTCACACACACAATTAAAAAAAAGACACTCAACAAACGATTTAAAATGTTTTATTACCTACTCAACGGCCAATCAAAATTACCATTAAAATCACAACTTTCGACAGGCACATACCTAATCAATTTGGATGTACGGGTGCCAGGTTTATGTACCGGCCAAATATTCCAATATTCAAAGATTACAAAGTTTTCAATCGAAAATTTTAAGACTAATTGTTTCTGCCCCTTTTACGCAAACAAAAACACATTTCACAGAGATCTTCACATGTCAACAGTTTTTTCATCAATTAAAACATTTACAACGTTTTCATAGTAAATTTCAAAATCACACTAACACACAAATAAGATTACTCCATTCCCACAATTACCACGTAAACGTCAGAAAGAATATGGATAAGAGACCCCTCGAATGATAAATATCATATTGTTAATCCAGAACAGCTGCTAATGGGTAGCTTTTTCTATAACGCTATAATAATACATGTATATTTGAAGATACAAATAAATTAGTTAAAAAATTATCGGTATGAACAGCTGTCGGTATGAACTTATATACAACCTGCAATTTGAATTTATATTTTGTGAATGTGACATTAATTAGAGTTATAGAGGAAGCTACCCATTGGCAACCGTTCTGGACTAATCATATAAGAGGTCTCTGATCGATATTCTTACAGTTGTCTTCGGAGTAATTTTGTAGCATAGAGTATTTTTATTTGTCTGTTAATGTGATCTATAAAATACCATAAATTAAAAGGATATTTTATTTTTTATAAAAATCAAGTTCGTACTATCGTGATAGAACACAGACGTTCTACTACAGTTAGAAAATCAAAAAATGATTTTTTAAAAGGATGTAATTTTAAAGAAGAAAAACTAATTGAATTACCCAATCTTATTGATAGGGTGTCATAACAATTCGCGTATGGGACGTTGACATACTACTGCTAAATAAATTATCATCTTGAGCGCACCATTATTTTCTCTCCGGGATACTGTAAGTGCCCTTTACTAAAACACGACCGTATTAATTTCAATTCTAGCAAAATTTCAATATATCGCGGCCAAAATATTATTTAAAGGGATTGAAATTTACTTTCATCAGCTCTGATGCCTTCGATCCGTTGACACCTACACCGAGAATGATTGCCACTTGTTAAACATTTCCCTTGTACTTTGTTACATATTCAAAGTGATGTTGAGATATTACGGAAGAAAACACAGTACAGAAAATGTGTTTAACCCCAAACTAGCCTAAAGGTGTTATAAATCTTACAAATGCGTATTTCCTTGGAGATAAGTCACGGTCTGCTAATGGATGAACTTAATCTTCCCTCCGGATTGTTTAATCCTATCTGCAAAACACAGGTCAGGGGCGGATATTATCAAGGAGAAAAATTGGCCATTTTGGTCGAATGCGGAGGAATTATTTTTGAATCTCTCTCTTTCTCTCACGATCGATAAAATGCTTTAGATATATGATACTTTTCTGTGTAAACTTTGGGTTTGCCGGAGATTGGTTAAATTCATCTCTTTCTTCAAGTGTTAGTGGATTCAGCTGATATTCTCGCCAAGGTTTTTGTTTTATTTTTATTTTTATTCTTATTATTCTTATTTATCTATGCATAGTACGCACTTATATAAGGCAGCTATATTAAAATGCAATTACGGAATTCATCGATTTTTTTTCTCAAATTTGCAATTCAATCAGCAATACTTTTATGGTATGTAATTCGTTGAGGTACAGTTATAAAATAGCTGCAAATAGCCAATTACTGGCGAGATTCGTTCATAAATTTTTACACAAATGAAATGAATGGTTTTTTAATACCATAACCACTATTTCTGGGTTAATTTTATGCACTAATATTTTATAGGAAGGAAAGTTATTTTTTTAAAGCAACCAATTCGTGATACGGTGTAGATAAACATAAAAAGGTACTACACAGTTACACTACAATCATAATTATTTTATTTATTTTTTTGTATGTTTTGATAAAAAAATTTGTTATAATTTTGACAATATAGTAATATGAATTTTTATAATTTTTTCTTCTTTTTGTAACGAGGGGTTGTAACAGCACAGGCCCCTCAGGGTGCCGGTGTTTTTGCATGACCGCATGCAGGGCCGCTGGATTCGAACACGGGACCTTTACGTTACAGTGATAAGCGCCGTGTCAACGCCTAAACCGTTGCGGCCACCGACGCCCCTACAATTTTTATTGCTTAGCCTGTTTTCTAAAACATAACAATGTGTAGAGGGCAGGAGATATATAAATAAAAAATACATTATCATTAGAGACCAATTATTAAAACAGTGATGTAATTTAACGCATTGTTAAGCTTATGTTTTTTTATTATATCTGATTCCTCTTGGTTATATTAGCATAATGAAGTTAATTAATTTTTAATTTTAAAACCATAGAAAATAGTAAAAGAAACACGAATATTTAAAAGATTTTAATCACTCAGTTTTTAGTTTTTAATTCGTTTTGTTTATATTGTAAAAAGCAAACTTTTAGAATTTGAAGAAAAATACATAACAAGTTTATTCTCTTTATTAATGGTTATAATATTTTTTCAGAATCGTATAGTTTTTAAAAATTCTTAAGCTGAGAATATCGTTGTGATAGAGTATTAAAATAGAGATGAAATATATTCAGCGTAGTTTAAGAACAACATAAATATGTTTTTGAACATAATTTCCAAAGGAAATAAAAAGAGAATGTAGGCAAGAGGCAATGGGTTGGGTTGGTAGGCGGAATAATGCACAGAAAAAAAGTGAACCTACACATACAACTTAAAGAACTACAAATTTGTATAATTTTAAGGTCATCATCAGAACCAGCCAAAAACATTCAAAGTTTGGCAGCAGCAACTAATTAGCTTTCTTCTTCGAGACCATACTTTGATCCAGATGTTCATAAGTGAAAAAGTGGTTGATACTTCTAATACTGATTATATTTTATCAGCGTTATTAGTAATAGCAACGGCAATGTGCGAATTTATTTAAATTTAACACTTGTATGCATGCCTACAATAAATATGGGATGTTAGTTAAGCCTCCGGTTCGACATGTTATACACGTTATATGACGAAGCCAATTACATAATTTTTTGTTTTGATGGTGAATAATACATTTAGTTTCATTTGACAGTGAGTTCATGAATTTATTGCTACCGTTATGTGTATCGGAATTAAAACGAAACCCCATTATTTTAATATAGTTTTAAGACAGTATAATGATCTTGTGCTTACATAAATATATATTTAATCATCATTTTTGTTTAAGATGATTTATGTAACGAGAAATCCAAAGGACGCAGCTGTCTCTTACTATCACCATCACAGGCTTTGGAACGGCTACAACGGCAGCTATCCTATTTTCATGCAAGCGTTTCTTCAGGACAAATGTAAGCATCTTAATTTTAAGTATGAGTTTTATAGAGCTATTTGTACGTAAACATTTTTCTTTTAGTGGTCTACAGCCCTTTTTGGGAGCACGTCGTCGAGTACAAGAAACTCGAAAATGAGCCCAACCTCCTCATAAATTCATTCGAAGAGATGAAGAAGGTAAGGATACATTCGTCATTATGTAAAAGCCCGATGTTACTGAACGATTCGATGCGTAGGACTTGAAAGGCGTTGTGAGAAAAACGGCCGCCTTCTTGAACAAGACCATGACCGAAGAGCAGGTCGAAAGGCTCGCGGACCACCTGAGCTTCGGAAAGATGAAGGACAACAGTGCGCTCAACGGTGAGGAAATGATCAAGGAAGTGAAGCAGCGTTGCGGGCTCGATCCTTCCGACCCCCAGCTCAGCTTCATTAGGAAAGGTCAGGTGGATTCTTGGAAGGAGGAAATGTCACCGGATATCGCGAACCAGTTCGACGTCTGGACCGAGAAAAAGAAGAAAGAGCTTCTGGCCAACGTCAAAAATTAATGACGTCGAGTCATTTTCTTGTGATCAATCAACGTTTAACCAGCAATCAAGTGATTATTTATGTATTACGACCTGCACCTTCTATTTATTTGTAATTTATATATTATATTGTTGAATCTTTAAATTTTAGTTTTTATGTATTCGTTACAATTCATAAATTGATTATATCTTACGTTTTTGTTTTATAAAGAAAGTTTATGACCACAATCTCACTCCTATTCGCGTATATAAAACTTTCCATAAAAAGTTTAAAATTTTAATTGAAACAAGATTTAAAAAGTGTTCTACAGATGTTAACGTGCTAAAAATAAGAAGTAGCAAATCATCTAACAACCAAACGATTTCAAAATTCAAACGCCCCAGGTTACGTTACAAAAAAACGATCTAAGTAACTAGTACAATATCTTAAAGAACTTAATAGTAATTTAATATAGGTACTAAAGAGTTTAATATATGGCGTCAATTTTCATCAGGATCAATTGACTGACAATACATTAGCGACACACAAATCATTTGTGAGACCTTCTTTCATCAGGTGACGAGCGAATTTTTTATGATGGCAGTAAAGATAATTAAAAAACAGAAAACAAAAAAACATAAATAAGGCTTAAACTTTAGGCTTATTTCAACTTATATAAAAAGATCAGGGATAAGGCAAATTGCCCGCAAATACCTTTTGCCTTACACCTGACATTTTATGTACAGGGTATATCAACTTCTACAATCCATCCATTTAATTCGGAAATGATTAACTTTAACAAAACATTGTCTTATTTAACCACAAGTTAAATTTGGTCAGAAATCACGTGGTAGTAACAGATTTAACATAACTTTCTCATCTAGCTGGGAAATAACACTAACTTTGTTATTTTAAATATGACTATTATATATATNTATGCATATTTTATGTCATTTTTACTTAAAAGAAAATTTTGATAGGATCGACCATTTGTGAGATGCTCGACGGAAGACGCGCGGGGGTATGCTTTTTGTAACAAGATGGCCCTCCCCGTTTATTTCGGGACCAATTAACTTTAGCAAACAAGTTTTATACAAACCCCAAGTTAATTTTGGCTTGAAATCGCATGGTCGTAACAGATTTGACATAACTTTGTCATCTACCTATGAAATGACTCTAATTTTTTTATATTTTAAATGAGAATCGCGTCATTTTATTGTACATTTTGATTCTACGGCTTATTTTATGCCCCTTTTCCTGATCGGAAGATCGACGATTTCTGAGTTATGCTTGATGGATTTTTAGTTAGACGGATGTTTTAAAGTTATGAGAAAGTTATGTTAATTCTGTACGAACTCGCGATTCCTAGCCAAAATTAACTTGGGGTTTGTTGATGTTGAAGAACATGTTTTGCTAAAGTAATCGTTTCCGAATTAAATGGGTGGACTGTAGAAGATGATACATCATGTATACAGCAGCAATTTCTTCTTTGCAAAGTGCTTGATTAAAACCCGCATGTCAGATCGGTCGTGCAGGTTTAACATACCGAAAGGCCGTCTATTACACACTTTCTCACTCACTCGCTCTCTCACTCTCTCTCTCTCTCTCTCTCTCTCTCTCTCACACACACACACACACACGCACACACACACACACGCATCCGTCGCCCCTGAAGCTACGATATATACAAATAAAGGATCAGGTATAAGGCTAATTTGAAAGTAAAAAATATATATACAGATTCTTAGTCAAGCTTTCGAGGAATTCACTATTTTTTTAGTGGTCCGCTTGACCAATTAATATCTTTCAATTTATTAAGGTTTTTAGTTGAGATAAAAAAGCCAGTGACACGAACGGAATTCGAACCCACGATCTTCCGCTAGATACGCCGCTGTCCTCCCACTTGAGCTATCGTGACCTCGATCCACTCGGAATTCAACTTCCTATTTCAAAATTCAAAAGGTGGGGGTTGAGATAAGAAGTTGATGTCCGAGAGGATCGAGGTCACGATAGCTCAAGTGGTAGAGCAGCGGCGTATCTAGCCGAAGATCGTGGGTTCGAAACCCGCTCGTGACACTGCCTTTTTTATCTCAATTAAAAACCTTAATTACTTTCGAGAAATATTTCCATTTCATCATGTCAGTTGATTTAAACGTTTTTCAGATATATAAATAGAAACTTACATTACTTAAAATTATTACGTCAACCTTAACATGTATAAGTTTTACTTGAAAGGGTAGGCGAGATCTTTCATCCGTCCATTCCAAATTACTACTGTGAATAACGGGCATTAATTCCACAATTCACAATGCTATTGTGATTGAAAATTTATTCTGCAGAAAGACAACAACTTACTTATCACAGACATTTAGTATTAAACTCCCATACATTTAAACATTGTTGTGAAATATGCAAATTTTGTTTTTCCATTGAGCTAGAAATCTCGGAAACGGTGAACTGAATGAATATATGAACCTAAAATGGCTCTTTGTTTTCCCCCTTTATATTTGTTCTGACCGATTTGTGCACATAGTGGCCTCCATAGTTGCCTGTGGAATCAACTTATAGGTGTTTTTCTTGCAAACAAACCGGAATAAAACACTCGTGCGATGGGCGAAAACGTGCCAATTTTATAACAACCTATCTGTCTGACAGATGACAACTGCCACTTGGTGAAATATTGGGTCCCATTTGTTTCCCGGGGGAAGCGTTCGATTAAACCGCTTTACGTGTTAAATCTCCATCCACTTTTTTTTTGGTACTGTTGAAAGTATCAGGACATCGGAAAAAATTCGGTTTTTCAACAATTGCAATTGAGATACATTAGGTCGGTTAGTGTGCTTCAAATCCCTTTAAAACATTGTATAAAATTGTATACAAGATTGAGAGGATACAATCCAATATAAATTACGTTCAACCATTTTTATTATATAAAATTATTTGCTTGAAAATGAAATAAATGCAGTCCTAGTGTGATACGAGATTTGTCCAATTGCATTACAGATTTTTGGTATCAATCAATTGTGTTTTTTTATGACAATAAAACAAGACTTTGTAATTAACGACGATGGAGTAACCAGGTACAATGTAAAATAGATTGAAAAGTGTGAAGACTAAACCTACGTGTAAAGACCGCATCCTCTATCTTTATGCTCTTTGAAAACAATAAATTGCGAACATTAAATATATTTTTATAGTGCCAATGTCAATTTAATTAATAAATATTACATTCACAAATCTTTTAACAAAAGATGAACAATCACCAGTTTGCTAGTTTTAGAAATTTGTGATATCTCCATAAACTTATGTATACCGAACAAATAGGGCCCGTTTAGTCTCACGTAGTAAATGATAAACAGACACGTTGAGACATACAGACTTATTTGGTTTATAAGTTTAGTCGTCATCGGCCTTTCTTTTTGGTGCAACAAAGTTTTTCTAATATTTCGTCTGGAAGAGGATTATGTCTGCCCGTTGGTAGAAGAGACAATACGACTTTTTTGGTTTATAACTAAGAAAACATTGCAGTTTTTGAGCTTGCATCGAAAATTTTGGCTGAAATGCAATTCAGAGCTATTCGTATTTTGTGGGTCGCTATGAAATCAACATCATCTCTCTTAGCGGAAGCGGGTGCCAACCACCTGGTATAAGAAAAGACTATCATACCTGTACAAATTTTATTAACCCGAATATCAAGTTAGTGTAGTCATTGAATAGTTTTTGTGGTCCGTTTGACCAATTAGTATCTTTAAATTAATTAAGGTTATTAATTGAGATAAAAAAGTCAGTGTCACGAGCGTGATTCGAACCCACGATCTTCGGCTATATACGCCGCTGCTCTCCCACTTGAACTATCGTGACTTCGATCCACTCGGCACCAACTTCCCATCTCAACCTACCTTTCGAATTTTCCCTCCTCTTTGCCATTATTCAAATGTCGTGTGATCTATTTGATTCTCGCCGACAAATGAAATGGCCACGGAGAGCTTTACGGAAGATATACTTCATTTTAACTTATTAAATTCACTAGTTTTCGTGGTCCGCTTGACCAATTAATATCTTTCAATTAATTAAGATTCTTTCAATTAGTTACGACATTTGAAAAATGGCAAAAAGGCGGGAAAATTCAAAAGATGGTGTTGAGAGGGAAGTTGGTGTCCGAGTGGATCGAAGTCACGATAGCTCAAGTGGTACAGTATCGGCGTATCTAGCCGAAGGTCGTGGGTTCGAATCCCTCTGGTGATACTGACTTTTTTATCTCAACTAAAAACCTTAATTAGTGTAGAGTAATAAGCCATTCACTAGAGACACACATATGTTCATAACATCGGTGAACAACTCGCAAAGCAATTAATCCTGGGTCAAAGTAAGAGGAGACTTTAAAAATGAATTAAATGTCATATATATTTTTGAGTCAGCGGAAGATTCTGTGAATAACCGGGACTATGTGAAATATGTGGTTGAGGGTGGCCTCTGTTAAGAAATCGTAGTGATTTTTACAGATGGCTCATCTTTTCATTGCTTAAGAAACTGCCTAATTTTGTCCAGCATTTGGGGCTGAGACATTGACAATTTGTGAAGCTTTGCGATATGCTTACTTTTTCATGGGTAGATATAGATATAGGGATAAAAGAGGCCACAATATATTTGGTAGGATCGGGGATGTGGTCCAATGAATGTTCTGGTGTTGAAACTATGCTATGTTTTCGGTGTTTTATTTCACCTTCCTCGCGGCTCTACAACGGATATATAAACATATAATATTTTATAATAAGTGTAAGTGAACATCAAAAATCAACTTGTTTTTACAACTTACAGATTCTCTGTTAGTACGTACAATTGTTTTCTCTTATCAACAAGTATAAACATTTTTTCTCGGGATTCGAATCCTGCTCGTGACACTAATTTTTCATCTCAACCAAAAACCTTAGATGAAAAAAATAATTAATTTTCTCAATTACGGCCGCTAAACAAATATGAAATAATTCAAATAATTAAATATAACATGGACAAAATATTAGGGTTTGTATTATAACGAAGTACGTGCAAACAAACCGTCATTTACTTAAAACAAGTGCGTCCAAATGGGCTCTAGTTGGGGAGCGATTTAATATTAGGTGTATCCAAATGTTCCTAGCCCTGTAAAATTTTTGATCACTGAAACA